GTGGTTTAATCTCGATCTCTTTATTTTCTTATTTGTGATTCAATCCAAGTTAACATTATTCTCTGATTCGTGATTTAATCTCGATCTCTTTATTTTTCGATTTGTGATTCAATCTCGATCTCTTTAATTTAAAATCATGGTTTAATCTCGACTGTTATTTTTTTTTGACTCGTGGTCTAATCCCGGTCTCTTTATTTTCGAACTTGTGATTCAATCCAAGTTAACGTCATTTTTTGACTCGTAATTTAATTCCAGTCTTTTTATTCTCTAATTTACGGTTTAATCTTGATCTCTTTAATTCAAAGTCGTAATTTAATCTCGATTGTTGTTATCCTCGAACTCATGGTTTAATCTCAGTCTCCTTATTTTCTTACTTGTGATTCAATCCAAGTTAACATTATTTTTTAATTCGCGATTTAATCTCGATCTCTTTATTTTTCGATTCGCGATTCAATTCCGATCTCTTTAATTCAAAATCAAAGTTTAATCTCGGTTGTTGTTATCTTTTGACTCATGGTCTAATCCCGGTCTCCTTATTTTTGGACTTGTGATTCAATCCAAGTTAACGTCATTTTTTGACTCGTGATTTAATCTCGATCTTTTATTCTTTGATTTACGGTTCAATCCCGATCTCTTTAATTCAAAGTCACAGTTTAATATCGATTGTTGTTATCCTCTGACTCGTTGTTTAATCTCGATCTCCTTATTTTTTTACTTGTGATTCAATCCAAGTTAACATTATTCTCTGATTCACGGATTAATCTCGGTCTCTTTATTCTTCTATTCATAGTTTAATCCTGATCTTTTTAATTCAAAATCATAGTTTAATATCGATTGTTGTTATCCTTTGACTCGTGGTCTAATCTCGATCTCCTTGTTTTTTGACTTGTGATTCAATCTAAGTTCAATACTTATCTCTTTATTCTCTAATTCACGGTTCAATCTCGATCTCTTTAATTTAAAATCGTAGTTTAATCTTAATTGTTGTTAACCTCTGACTCGTGGTTTATTCTCAATCTTCTTATTTTCTGACTTGTGATTCAATCCAAGTTAAAGTCATTTTTTATTCGCGATTTAATCCCGATCTCTTTGTTCTCTGATTCGCGGTTTAATCTTGATCTTTAGAATTTCTCTGACTCATGGTTTAATCCCAATCTCCCCGTTTTTGACTTGTGATTCAATCCAAGTTCAATCCTGATCTTGTTATTCCTTGACTCACGATAGCGTCCCAATCACTTTCTTTGTTATTCAACTTTTGGTGTTGCCTTAATCGATTCTTTATTTTTCGACTCACGATGTCGTTTTCTTTATCACTTGACCTGACTTATAAAAAAATAAAAAATAAAAAAAATCCATGATTTGGTTTCGAACAAAATTGTTGTCTTTGTCTTTGTCATATTCTTGCTTTTCAGTAATGTGTAAAGAGGGACAGTTGTAGACACCGATTTTGTCTGGATCTACTATTTTCATTTCAATTTAATAATAATAATAATTAATTTTAATAATAATAATAACAACAATTTAAAAAAAAAAAGACAAAAATCTTAGGGCTGGTACGACGCCACTGCCGCCCCCAACCAGCCCCCTGTCCAGCCCCCTGTCTATAGCCATCCAGATCCCCATATTTGAAGCTCTTTAAAACTCCCAACCCCTTTCCCCTTCAGGGTCTCTTTGAAAAAAAAATGCCTATTCAATCCACCTTTACCACAAACCCTCAAGCTCAGACAAACTACCCCCTAAAAACACTTTCAACAGCCCCAGACAGAACCCCCATCCCCACGCATAAAAAACTTAAATTTCAAACTCACACCCAAATACCCAAACCAAAAAAAATAGAAACAAAAAATGGACAAACACAGTCCTCCCCATAGGGAGGAACCCAACGTCACGCTACTTGCAAAAGCAAAAATCATATTAGTCTCTCCTTAAAAAAAAAGAAGGCAAAAAACTTTAAGCCCCAATCTACGATAATCGGGGTTATTTTTGGCAAAAACAAAGTTAGATCCGGAAAGAGAACGAAAAAAAGAAATTTTTAGGGTATTTTGAAGGTTTTTCGACCACCGGTGACCACCAGTAAAGTCACCGACGGTGAACCAGGCGGTGGACGGTGTGATTGTCCGATGATCGAACAACGAGAAAGCTCTAGAGCTCTCCCCTCTGTTTTTTTTTTTTTGGAACAGAAAAAGACTGAAACAAAAATTTTTTTTTTTAGTTATATATAAAGGCCTAAATGCCAAAATGATGTTGTATTAGGTAAGGAAAGATCTGCGCGTGGACCCAGACTCGACTCGGGGTCCACGCAACCGACCTGTCAACCCGGTTTCTCAACAGCCCTGAACCAATTTGATCAGACCAGACCGAGCTGTTCCCTAGACCGGTTTGAACCACTCCTCAACCGACTCAATCGAATCGTGCGTTGAACCGACCCCTTTTCGATCAACCGAACCATCATTGATCGGACCGTTGACCGGTCCGGTTCAGGTAAAAAAGATTTTTTTTTTGAAATTTTAAATTTTTATATATTATTATTTTTGTTATTTTAAGTATTTTTTTATATTGATGCATGATAAATTCTTAAATTTGTTAAAATAAATATTTAATTATTTTAATAATAATAAAATTGAAAATAAGTAATAATTAAAGATATATATTAAAAATGCTCAAAAATAATAATAAATTTTTTTATTTTTCATGCCTTGATGTTGGAAGGAATAAAAATATTTTTCTAAAAATAATTTCGCCTAGATGTTAGAAAATTATTATTAATAAATTTTTATAAAAAATAAATATATGAGAAATTATTGATTAATTTTTAAAAATCACTAAAATCGAACTTACTCCAAAAATTCGCCTAGATGTTGAAGATTTTTAGAGATGTTTACATTTTCTTAAAAACGAAACCTCAATTTTTTAAAACCAAAACCCTAGGATTCTAAAACCCCTAAAATCCAAAATCCCTTAAATCCAAACTTCCTAAAATTCGAAACCCTAAAACCTTTAAACCTTTAAATCCAAACCCGATTCGAGGTCCGCGCAACCGATCCGTCGACTCGGTTCCTCAGCAGCCCTGAACTGGTTTGATCAGACTGGATCAAGCCGCTCTCTAGACCGGTTCGAACCATTCTTTAATCAGCTCAACCGAACCGCACGTCGAACCGACCCCTTTTCGGTCTAATCGAACCTTCGTTGATCAAGCTATTGATCGGTCCGGTTCAGGTAAAAAAATTTGTTTTTTTAGTTTTCTAATTTTTTATATATTATTATTTTGGTTTTTTTAAGTATTTTTTTATTTTGATGCATGATAAATTCTTAATTTGTTAAGAATAAATTTTTTAATTTTATTTTAATAATAATAAAATTAAAAACAAGTAATAATTAAAAATATATATTAAAAATGCTCCAAAATATAATAATATTTTTTTTATTTTCCCTGCTTAGATGTTGGAGAGAATAAAAATATTTTCCTAAAAATAATTTTGCCTAGATGTTGGGAAATTATTATTAATAAATTTTCATAAAAAATAAATATATGAGAAATTATTGATTAATTTTTAAAAATCACTAAAATAGAACTTGCTCCAAAATTTCGCCTAGATGTTGAAGATTTTTAGAGATGTTTACATTTTCTTAAAAACGAAACCTCAATTTTTTAAAACCAAAACCCTAGGATTCTAAAACCCCTAAAATCCAAAATCCCTTAAATCTAAACTCTCTAAAATCTAAAACCCTAAAACCTTTAAACCTTTAAATCCAAACCCCATAAAATCCAAAACCCTAAAATTCCAACCTTTAAATCCATACCCCAAAATTCAAAACCCCTAAAATCCAAAACCCTAAAATCCGAATCTTCAAAATCTTGAAACTCTAACCTTTAAAACCTCTACCTAAGCCCTTACTCAAAACATTTTGAAAATCCTAAAGACACGAGTGAAAATCTCATTTGAAGTAATATGTTCCCAAATGCCACCTAGATGATGGGGTGTTTAGAAAACTTTACTTCATTAAGTTTTTTTTACACGAATTCTTAATTCGCATTAATAATAAGATTAATAAATAAAAAAGTATAATAGTAAATCGAGATCTTAAATATAGTAGTCATACCTAAGCTCTGTCTAAATGTTATAGAGTCGGGGTGGTCTCATTATACTTAAGAATCCAACTTTTAAATTGCATTTCATTTTACATGACATTCATGAACATATATACGTTAGCGTGTTATCATCGATAATTGTTTGCATTATTCTCTCTTTAATTTTTATTTACTATTTGATGATAAAATATTTTATAATAAAAAAGAATAATACATTTTAAAAAAATTTGTGATATTATAAAATAAAATAAAAATAACATTCTGAAGAAAATAATTCTTGGTACTCTGCCTAGATGTTGGAAAGTCACTAACAATTATCTTCTATAAAGATTGTTATTTCATTTTTAAAGATTATCGTGTTAAATCTTAAACAAAAAGAGTTATTTTAAATTCTACCTAGATGTTGAAAAATTTTAAAATAATTCTTTAACTTTAAGATTTTTTTAATATTCCTAAATAAAAAGCTTTAGCAAAATTTTATTTTTTCAAATGAAGGGAATTAGTGTTAAAATTCAAATTAAAATAATTTTTATCCAACATCGAAAATAGTATGTAATTAAATGATATCAATATATGAGTGTTGTAAGGATGCTAATTATTTCTCACACATAATCGACTCCCGAACCTAATCTAATTTTTTATAGATTGAAATTTATCTTTTTGATAAATTTTAAACTCGCTTTTATAATTTTATTAAGAAAATAAATTTTTGAATAATCAATCACATTCTAATAAAAATTAATGATAACTTTTTTCATTTATTTTAATTTTAAAACTCATTTACGTATGATGATCTCAAAATTATTATAACACCTATTAACTATTAACTATCTAATCAAGTCACTTATTTTCTGATCTCATTCATACATAGAATAATTGAAAATAAAAGAAAACCTTATACACACTTTTCTTTTATTAAAGCTTCCTTCACACATTTCAACAATTTTATCTCTTTCCTCCACTTTACTTTAGGTATTTTGCTGACTTGGACGTTGATGCGCAGACAAAAGCAAGAACTCTTGCACCCCTTAACCATATTTTTTGGTTGTATGTTCAAACTATCCTTTCTTTCAACCTTATCTACTTCCTTCCAACTAATACAATCCAAAAACATTATCAATAATATTAAAATTAACAAAAAAAGTGAAAATTTATGAATTTATGAATTTAAAGATCAACAAGTAACATTTTTAAAACTACAAAAAAATGCTAATATTTAGTTCGAAATTTAAGAATAACAATCAATTTTTTTTTTCATTTACTTAAAACAAAAATCTCACCGTGCATAAACATTGAACATAGAAAACCATAGATATTTATTGAAGAAAAAAAAAGAGCACTTTTTTCCATTAAGTGGAGACACGTGGGCATTCTCTGTCTCAGCCAGCATATAAATCGGTCCCGATGCATTGCATTTCCTTTCCCTCAACTCCCACCCAACCGTCCGATTAAATGTCCCAATCAAATAGTTCACATCTCTCCACGCTCACTTGTCATTTACCTTTGATTCACCAAACTCCTCATGGCTTGCAATACGTCCACGCTCCCTCACTTACATTCCTTGGATTTAAATCAAATCCAACGGCTGATGCTCTTCTTCAAGTTTCTCTTTCTAATTTACTCACTGTAACATTATGTCCCGCTCTTTCTCCATCCACTCCAAAAAAAACCACAGAAAATCTTTCTCATTGTTTTTATTATAAGAATATTATAAGTACTGTTTCCTTTCTCTATCTATTTTTTTCTATTAATTTTTTTATAGAAAGAAATGCAAGAACAAGCAACGAGTTCAATTGCAGCTAGTTCTTTGCCTTCAAGTAGTGAAAGATCTTCAAGCTCTGCTCTTCAAGTTGAAATCAAAGAAGGTAAGCTTTATTTTAGCTATTGCTACATTAAAGTTTTAAAATTTCAAGAAAAGTGACTTACCTTTGGTCCTTGATAATTTTTTCTTCCTTATTTGAAAAAGTTTCTGAATTTCCCATCTGGATTTTGTAGTAGGAGATGGTTTTTCTATGTGGGTTTTGTAAAGTTTTTAGCTTCCTCACCTGGGTTTTTTTTTTTTTTTGTTCTTTTTCTCGAGAAAATCCATCGAGATCAACAGTATTTTCTTTTGTTACAACATTGTTTTCTTTTTAAGGAAATCCTTCTAGGTTTAAAAATCTTAACTTTTTCTTTTTGAAGGTATGGAAAGTGATGAAGAGATTCGCAGGGTGCCTGAGATAGGTGGAGAAGCAACAGCAGCTCCAGCAACGGGTTCTCTGGCTGGTCCGAACCGGGTTCAGCCATCAGGGGAGGGTGGTCAGAGAAAGCGAGGTAGGAGCCCAGCAGACAAAGAAAACAAGCGCCTAAAGAGGTAAGAATTGCGGACGATAGTGCGAGTTCTACCAGATATTACTGTTTTGCCAATTTTTTTTGAGCCGTTCTCACGTGGGGCCAGTGGCATTTGGGTAATTATGGGTTTTCTTTTGCCATTTGAGAAGGTTGTTGAGAAACAGAGTTTCAGCACAGCAAGCAAGGGAAAGAAAAAAGGCATACTTAAATGAGCTAGAAACCAGAGTTAGAGACTTGGAGAAGAAAAACTCTGAGCTTGAAGAGAGGCTGTCCACGTTGCAGAATGAGAATCAGATGCTTCGACAAGTAAATTACCTTTGTCAAAATCCCCCATCAATCCAATCACCAACCATCACATAACATCATATCATCATCATCATCATTACCATCACATAACATCACCTTCTCCTCATAGTTCTCCTTTGGACGGACGAATTGGGTTATCAATCATCTTTAACTCTTAACTCGAAATGCAGACTTAAAACATGTATATAATTTTTTATGAATATATACAAATGTGCTAATGGCTTTATGTCAAAGATCATTAGCTTATATTACTAATGGGGTATGTGGGGTGAGCCCACATTGCCACTACCAGATGATTGATATTTTCTGATATTTGTTTTGCTTTAGTTATACCATAAAATGTTGGAAAAGTGGATGTGAAACCCTGGTTAGTCTTTCCTGTTTGATTTGCCTTGGAAAGTTTTCTGGTGGCTGGAGCATCTTTTCTTTTTTTTTTGGACCCAGTTTCAATCTAAAGCAATAGAAATAGCAGTTTGCAGATGGCCCAGAGAGAGACTGAAGGTAGGTTAGGACTTAGGAGTAGGACTGTTAGGTCATTAATATACTGGACTAAAATTTAGGGCTGCCTTGTGATGTTTCGGGCTTATAGTGGTGGTATTGTTGCATGTATATGCTTTAATGTTCCCTTAGGTTCAATCATAAATTGCACCTTTCAGTACAGTTAAGATCCTGTAATGAAACACTTTTTTCGATGTGATAAGAGCATTCAGTGCAATTAAAATTTAATCATAAATCACATTTTATGCTGAGCTCCCAAATGGAGCCTTCTATTTTGGCAGTAAGTAGGTTTTTGAAGATGTGATAAATATCCAATTCCTAGTAAGTAACTTGGTATACTTAAACTGAAATAAATGAAACAAGAAAAAAAATTTCATCTGAACTTGATTGTAATTTGCAGATAGTGAAGACCACGACGGCGAGCAGGAGAGGGGGCAATGGCAGTTCAAATGCAGCTGCAGATGGATGCCTTTGAGGAGTTACTGAGTATAGAATTTGTAGGGGGTTGAAAAAACTTATGTAAAGAGACTTATGCTTCAGAAAAATTCTATTTCCAATGCAATGAAGCAGCATTGACTGTAGAATCCTAAATTATCAAAACTAAACTTTAATCTCTTATAGTGATGGCAATGAAAGTTGGCTATGGTTTAAGCCTCGCAACTGCCAACAAGGTGTTTTCTGTTTTGGCTCATTGAGGCTGAAAAGTCGTAATTCATCTGTCCAAAGTTTCTAGTATTTATCTATATTCTAGATACACTTATTGTTAATTTATTCTAGTTAAAAGTAGGCCTCAAAGGAACTTAGGCATGAGTTATTTGTTCCGCAGGTGATATATTTTTTATTTTTGTTTAATAATTATCATAAAAATATATATATATATATTGATATTAATTTTTTTAATTTAATAATCATACTAAAAAAGCTAATAAGGAAAATAATATTAAATTCAAATTTTTTACAAAATAAAAAATAGCCAAATCAATAAAAAAATCTATAAAAAAGAAACTATAAAAAAAAATTTTCTCATTTATATACTGCATTTAAAACCATGTATAGTGTATATAATGATAGATAAAATGGGATAATAATTATTTTATATTATATTTAGTTTCTACATAAAGAGAGGAATAAAATTGCAAGGAGATTTAATTATTGTTTTTTACATAAGATGATTTAATTTTTTCAAAATGAAAAAGATTAATTTTAATTTATGATATTTAACTTATTTTAATAAAGTTTTAAAAATTATATTAATAATTTAAATTATATAAATTTTAAAAAATAATAATTTTGATCGATAAATAAAATTATTTTATCATATTCTTAATTTTTACACACAACAAACATAAAATAAAATAATATTATTTAATTTCTATCTCGTGGGATGTCTTGTTTGTGTTTATTTCGTGGGAAATATGGATTGAACTGAACCAAATTATTTTCAAAGTCACGGGGGGAGAAACGATATCCTGGGGAGAGCTAAAGCTGGGAAGTTCTATGCAATGAACCAATCAGAATTTAAATCCAAACTCATGTCCTTCATCTCCATAAGATGGTAGCCGCCAGAGAATGAGTGGCTTAAACTTAATACGGACGGCTCGTCGATTGGAAATCCAGGCAGGGCGGGGGCTGGAGCTGTTATACGTGACCATGAGGAAAAGTGGGTTGCAGGATCTGTTGGATTCATTAGGGTCAGGACTAACATTTTAGCCAAAATCTGGGCCCTAAGGGATGGTCTTCTGTTGGCTAGAAACCTGAATATTCAGAACCTGTAAGTTGAGCTTGATGCTTCTGTAGTTATCTCTATGATTAAGAATGAAAACAAGTCTAACCCCACTTTCCAAACTTTGGTTTCTGACTGCAGGAAGCTCCTGACAGAGTTTAACCAGCAGAGGATGGTACATGTTTTCAGGGAAGGAAATCGTTGTGCAGACGCTCTTGCTGGCTTTGGTAGTAAAAACTTTTGTTGTAGGAATTTGTGTAATAAGGCCTCTTTTGTTTTCTTCCATAAACCTTCCGAGTTTGTTAAAAGACCTGTTATATGCCGATCCAGCAGGTCGCTATGTTTTTCGTACTGTTTGATTATCTACGAAGCCCCAGTTTCGTACCAAAAAACAACAGACATTAAAAAACTGGAAATTAGTATTTGTTAGATATATACCTCTAATTTAAGTTGAAAATCGGTGTAAATTTAGAAGAACAAATCGAAGATTTCAGAATCGAATTCTTGAAATTCCCTTTGACTTTGCGCTTCAAGTTTTGTCCACCACAAAACTTGAAGGAGAAAATGGTTAATCAGTCAAACATATGCGGTAACAAATTGCAAACTCCAGAATCGAATGCTTAAAATTACTTACGACTGAACACTTGTGCTTTTTTTCATAAATGAAATTTGCACGAAAAATGAAACACTGGAAATGGGTAAATTTTTTTGAGTTTTCTCATTAAGGCCTTGGAAGATTGAAACTATTAATTGCTGAGAAGATGTAGAAGAAGAAGAAGAAGAAGAAGAAGAAGAAGAGATCAATTGAAAAACGAAAAAAATGGGATAAAGAAGAAGAAAAAGAGATTTGGTCATTTTGGGTTTTATCATCAAAACTATTAGCTTCCTCTTCATGAACAGATTCAATCTGTTAGTGATGGAATTCCCAAAAAAAAATTATTGAAAATTTGAATTTATGACAACGAAGACGAAAACTATTACAACTCATATATTTATGGTTAAACATTCCATCTGATGCTGGAAAGGGGGATTTGGAATTTTAGGACTTACCCTATGTTTGGGAAGGGAATGGAAAGGAAGGAAAGAAAAATAATGAAAATAGAAAAAAATTTATTTGGATAAACTTTAATTTAAAAAAAATGAAATTTGAATTTTTTTTCTTTATAATTTTTACTTTTTTAATGCCTCAATTTGAAAGAAAATTAAAGAAAAAAAATTAAAAAAATTTATTTTTATAAAAAATTATTATATATATTTTTATTATGATATTAAATTAAATTATATAATTAATACTTCTTACAAAAATTTTTTTATGAATATTTTATATAACATCACAGTTTATAAATATTTTATAATTTTTTAAGATTTAATAATAAAATAAATCAAATATTATCAAAATAAATTAAAAAACTAAATTAAATATAAAATTAAAAGTAAATCAATAACTAATTAATTTATTTTATCATATTAAACATATTTAATTTTGTTTAAAAAGATTTATTTATATAAGTTAAGTAGTATAAAGATATATTTATATATTATTTTATAAAAAAAGTTATAATTGAAAAAGTATTATAGTAAATTATTTATTTATTTATTTATTATTTATTCAAATAATGATTGTTAAATTTTATTTTTTTATTAATTTTAATTATTCAAACAAAAGATACATATATATATATTTTTTAAAATTTCTTTTTTTTAAATAGGGAATTATAAATGTAATAAAATAAAATAAAATAAAAATGAGAAAAACCGAATAGGTTGGTTTGGAGTAGAAAGCATTGTTGCTTAAGAAGTTGACACTTGGCGACTTGTCAGACATTTGTAGGATCACAGATTGTTGCTTACATTTTTTTTTTTTAATGAAACTTGCTTTTCATTTTTTTATTTGATAGAAATGATATTTTTGTCAAATATAAAATTTTAAAATGTTTTTACAATGAAAATATGAAAAAGTAATTATTGTTTTACAACTAAGTAACTTCGCATATTATTTATGTACAAAAAATTTTGCAAAAATAGAGATTATGTTTATTATAATATTTAATTATAAATAAAAATTTTAAAGTTATAAATTTATTTATATTTTTAATTAATATATTTATATATGATTATTTTTAAAATTTAAAAACTAATAATTTTAAAAAAATTATTTTAGTTTTATTATTAATAACATTAAATTTTTAAATAAATATTATTATTTAATATATATTTAATTTAAACTTTTTAATAAATATTTAAAAAAAAAAAAGTGATTCTACGCAAAACGGGGTATCATTTTAGTTTAATTTAATGGCAGTGGTTGTGGAAAAATTTTATGGATTTAGGCAGGGTGTCGCCCTGTCTGTCGGCAACAACAGAATCAGTCGGTGAAACTCCTATAATTGTAATGAATACGGTTAATGCACTAATAGCTCATGAATTATAATTAAATATTTAAAATTTATAAATATTTAATTTAATATTTAAAGATGTTATCTGTTCTAATATGATTTAATTTCATTTTTTAAAACAATATATAATATTATAAATTTTTAAATTTTGATTTTGATTTGTTGAAATTGATTAAATTTGAATTGAATTTTATTTATTTGATTCATATCGTTAATTTTTAAAATTTATTTTTTGTATATTACTTTAATATAATTTTAATATTTTTAAATAGATTTATATGTAAAACAATTATTTTTATTTTATAAAAAATTTAAATATAATAAAATTAATATAAAATATAATTTGATTTGATTTTTTTAATTTTTATTTCTTGATTCAAAAATTTAAATAAAAAAATTAATTTAAATCAAATTAAATATTACGATTTTGAATTAATTTTTGATTTTTTTTCACTTTTAATGATATTATTTTTAATGTGATTAATTTTAAATTATGACATGTAATTGATAAATAATTTTTAAATATTATTTTAATTAATATATTTATAATTTAATTATCATATTAAATATTTTTAAAATTAAAACATTATATTAAATATTTATTATAATTAAAAAAAATTGATGACGTTATCCCTATTAAAAGATATTGTTAAGGTGCCATCACTAAAAACAAAAATCTCAATTAAACTCTATGTTTAACGACACTGGAAAAGTTGCTTCCACTTGAAATTTACAATGCTTATCATCAAACTAGCAGATGATTCATAATAACGAATCCACTCTTCTTCGGTCTTCAACTTCAAGATAATCCCGTCTTCACTCCCACAGGATAGCTATTATCTACAACCCACCCACTCCAAATTTTTTGTGCTGTTTAAGGAATAAAATATCAAAAAGAATTTTTCATAAAAAAAATCATAATTTGATATAAAAAAGTTGTAATTATTGTAATTATTAGAATTTGAGAATTTTAATTTTTAAAATTTATTATATGAATAAATTGAATTAAAATTTAAATTATAAAATATAAATTTTAAAGGGATGAATTATCATATTGTTTGCTTGCTTCATATTTTTATTTGTTATAAATAAGATAATATCTTCAGCTGTTGCTAAATGTTGACCCTAAGCCTAGAGTCCCAAACAAATAAATCTGCTTTGATTTTACCAGAACTAAAAGCATGTTTTGTATAAGAAATGGAACAAAAGCAAAACAATATCCTATTGTTTAAACTCCTATACTAAATGCAGTAATATCAATTAGTAATATTCAGGATAAAAAAATTTAATATTCAATCAAGGAAAAAAGTATAAAATATTAAAAAATATATTAAAAATTATTTAACTTCGTGCAAAGCCATAAAAAAATGAGTACGATTGACATTTGTAAAATGGAACGATAAGAGGGTATAATTGTAAATTCGTAATTAGTTGAAAGCCCAAAAAAAATAAAAATTTTAATCCGACATGGAGAAATTGAGTCCACCGACAGCCAATGGAGAGACAGATAGGAAGTACCGGCAATAGCCGGTAAAATTAAGAACAGGCTGTTACCAGCAAAGAAAAACATTTTAGAAAGTCTCGCTGTTGTCTTTTTCCCTGAAAGAAACTGGTTAACGGGCAAAGAACACGTGTAATATTATAATTGGGTTGTTTAGGGAATGGTAAAGCTGAATTTCATTGTTTTCTACCAGTAAACCA